ATTCCTGCTCATTCCTTTCAAAAAATGGTGAAGTGTCTTTTTTATAGTCCTTAAAGAATGGAAATCATATGGTGAATCAGATCATTGCTTTCAGGAGGAGCTACCATACAAACTACAGGTTCTTCAGTTCACCCATGTCAGGAACAGATTGCCAGTGTACAGAGAGCCTCCCAGCTGCATTTTCCCAAGGCTAAAAGAATCCACACCAGCTTAAAATCCTGCCTCTACCTCTTTTTACTCACCAATGAGCATGCCCCTCACCCACCTCATTCCTTTCCTACGAAGTCAGGTTAGTATTTTACACAAATCAACAGTGATCTCAGAGAAATGTGCAACTCTCCTTTACCTCTGAATACAAATCCCAGTCTAGGTAGACTGAAAACAGAACAGGAAATATAACCAATGTTTAAATTAGCACTAGTCTTCAATTACTGGCCACTCAGATGCATGCTGACATTTCCCTGTTTCTCTGAGGGTAGGACCAGAGAAAAACTAGGTGTGCTGGGAAGAAATGGACGATGTCCAAGCATAAGGTGTCCTCTTCTTTCCTCTCGTTTGTTTTCTGGATCCTCCCTAGGCTTCCAAGTTTCAAGATAAATTCTCCCAACATCACCTTAACCCAAACATCTCACTCTGTTCCTTGAATTCATAGCAACTCTAAGAGCAAAACCCTCCTCCAAGAGATTTCTTATAGTGCTGCTTGGTTTTAGCCTTTATTGTATATGTATGACTTACTTTCACTACTATAAGGTAGGAAATGTGTAAGATCTCTAGGTTACCATCTACATTACTTCCAGTGCACAGTTGTGATTTCCAATAAATATTAGCGAGACAAAGACTAAAGTAAATACATAAATACAAAAAAATAATCTTAAAAAGGCAAACTGTAGCCCTAACCAGTTTGGCTCAGCGGATAGAGCATCGGCCTGCGGACTCAAGGGTCCCAGGTTCGATTCTGGTCAAGGGCATGTACCTTGGTTGCGGGCACATCCCTAGTGGGGAGTGTGCAGGAGGCAGCTGATCAATGTTTCCAATTTTCTATCCCTTTCCCTTCCTCTCTGTAAAAAATCAATAAAATATATATTTTTTTAAAAAGGCAAACTGTAGAGTCAGGGACATGTGAGTTAGGACTCAGATCTACATTCTCACTGTGTAACCTGGACAGGTCACATAAACACTTTTTGCTCTGTTTCCTCCTTTTTTAAAAAATAAATCTTTATCGTTGAAAGTATTACATATGGCCCCCTTTTCCCCCATTGCCCTCTCCAACATCCCTCACCCCAAACCGTCACCATCCTATTGTCTGGGTCTATGGGTTATGCATATGAGTTCATTGGTTGATCTCTTCCCCCTCCCCACTCTCTCCTGCATTCCCTCTGTTTCCTCCTCTTAAAAATTAGGACAACAGTACCAACCTCAAACTGTGTCTTAATGAGGATTAAATGATATAGTATATAGTAATATAATTAAAAGGGCATGGCACATAGAACTGAGGAAGAGTTAGTATAATTATTATCAATCTTTCATATCTCATGTTTACTTATACAGAAAATTTATAATAACATACTAATAAAACAATGAGAAAATCACTAGCTGAAGAGAAAAGCCTCCGAGAATCTCAAGGTGGTAGATCAATACAAGATGGAAGGAGCGTGACTCTCTAAATGAGTGCAGAGCTGAAACTCGCTGTCTGCCCCACCTCCACTAAATAATCCACACTTGACTATAACATGAGCACATAATAAATTTTTATTGTGTTAAACCATTAAGACTTTAGGGATCACCTATAACAATAGCAGCTAGTCTTATTTACCTTAACTCAGGGATGGGGAACCTTTTTTCGGCCAAAGGTGAGCTGGATATTTATAACATCATTCCCAGGCCATGCAAAATTAGCCTGCTATATTTGGTTAAACATTTAATTAACTCACCCATAATGTCTTGGCAGGGTCAGACCAAATGATTTTGCCGGCCTTACAGGGACAATGGGCTGGATGTTCCCTATCCCTGCCTTAACTAATCAACAATGAATGTTATATGTTTAAAAGGTGCTCTATATTTGTTATCTAGGCTAGTCACAAAATAGATTCCAATATTATATTGCAAAATATCCCCTCTAGATTTACCTTCCTCACTCCAGTTTAATGAGCCATACCTAAATGCCTCTTCCTCCAATCTTTTAAGAGTCTAGCTCCCCTGCCTTCCCCCATATAAAGTAACTGATCATATTAACTCCAGCAAATTGCCATTTGTTTATTGGACATTTTACAACAGCAGCTACCACCTTAATGTCTTCATCCCTAGTGCCTACACTTTTACTGTAAGTGGGCATGCAGCTATCAAGAGAAAAAGAAACACAAGGAATTAGCTTACACTACAAAAGAGAAGTCCTCATGATATATGCTTAGATGAAGCTGCATCTGCTATATACTATGAGCCTGCAGCTTTCAATTTGTTCCCCTCCTGCCTCCACCCAGTATGCAGACCCTGAATACAGGACAGGATAGGTTTTCGGCATAGTTTTTATAAATAGATTACTTTTGTTTTTATTTGTACTTGTTGTTTTTTAATTTTAATGTTTAGAATTCAGTAAAATTGTTCTGACTTCATTGTATGTAAGATCATCTTCTACTATAGCAAATGATGTTATTTCATAACTAGAGGCCCGATGCACGAAGATTCCTACAAGAATAGGCCTTCCTTCCCCTGGCTGCCGGCACTGCCTTCGCTCCGGCCGGAGCTGCCTTTCCTCCTTCACTCTGGCCCAGAGCCACCTTTCCACCTTCCCACACTGCCCAGAGGCCCAGAGCAGCTGGGGTGGTGCAGAATGCCTGCGTTGTCGCCATGGCAACGACACAAGCATCCTGCCCTGCCCCCAGGAGCTTGGAGTCTGCGTGTTGGGTTAATTTGCATACCCACTCCTGATTGGCTGGTGGGCATTATGAAGGGATGGCCAATTTACATCTTTCTCTTTCATTAGTGTAGATAATGAAATAAACACATTTATATATATATACCAGAGGCCCAATGCATGAAATTCATGCACTGGGGGCACAGGGGTGGGTCCCTCAGCCCAGACTGCATCCTCTCGCAGTCCAGGAGCCCTCAAGGGATGTCCGACTGATGGCTTAGGCCCGCTCCCCATAAGGAGCGGGCCTAAGCCATCAGCTGGACATCCTTAGCGCTGCAGCGTAGGCGGGAGTGGCTCCAAAATCGCTGCTGGGCTAGCCAGCTGTGAGCCTGGCTTCTGGCTGAGCGGCGCTCCCCCTGTGGGAGCACACTGACCACCAGGGGACACCTCCGGCATTGAGCATCTGCCCCCTGGAGGTCAGTGTGTGTCATAGCGACCGGTTGTTCTGCTGTTCGTTTGATTTGTATATTAGCCTTTTATTATATAGGATATATATATAAAATTGAGTCAATCCTAGCAAAAAGATTAAGTAATAACAGAATAGGTAGTATTTACATCTGGCAAATATATGAAGGTACTCTATGAATTACTAAGTTTCAGAACTATTAGCATAGTTGATAGAAGTCTGTAAGTAAAATTAGGAAAGCAGAGGGAAGTTTAAGAACACAAATTTCCTTATCCAACATGATGTGGAGTCCACAGATACTCTCTACAAAGGATATGCAAGCCATAGAGTTCTAAGTGTAATATAGTAAATTGAAAGGGAATAAAAAAATAAATCTATAGCCTGGCCGGTGTGGTTGAGTGCCGACCTACGAACCAGATCACAGTTTGATTCCAGGTCAGGCACAAGCCTGGGTTGTTGGCTTGATCCCCAGTAGGGGTCATGCAGGAGGCAGATGATAAATAATTCTCTCCCATCATTGATGTTTCTGTCTCTCTCTCCTTCACCCTTCCTCTTTGAAATCAATAAAAATATATTTAAAACAAAATAAATCTATAAAAGGATAGATGAGAGGAGGAGTGGTAGCAGAAGAGTATAAAGTAACAGTTTAGCCCTAACTGGTTTGGCTCAGTGGATAGAGCATTGGCCTGCAGACTGAAGGGTCCCAGTTTCAATTCCAGTCAAGGGCATGTACCTTGGTTGTGGTCACATCCCAGACAGGGAGTATGCAGGAGGCAGCTGAATCGATGTTTCTCTCTCACTGATGTTTCTAATTCTCTATCCCTCTCCCTCTCCCTTCCTCTCTGTAAAAAATCAATAATATATATTTAAATAAATAAAGTAACAGTTTAAATTTTTCATTTTCCATGGTAACAAGTCAATAAATACTGTTTAAGTTCAATATATAAATGAAGAAAAACAACTAAAAGCAAAGGTCTGTATCTATTTGAGGAGACTGTTGTGACCATTAAAACTTAACTTTTGCTTTTCATGTTAAACTTTCATGTTTTGTTTAAATCGTTCTCACCTACATTTTTCCTTTTGTAAAGGAATGTGAAAAAATTTATTTATTAAATAAATAATTTTATTAAGATATAAACAATGCCTGATAAATACATATAGAGAATACAAATAAAATATAGCAAATTTTCTTTCTATAGCAGATTTTTGTTGAAATGAATACACACACAATGTTATACCTTAATACATGACTATATGAAGGAAACATGAATCGGGAAATTCATTTCTATAGTTTGAGTAGCATTTTGAAGAGATTTATTAAAAAGCATGAGTAAAATATTTTAAATTATATTTGAAAATATTTTAAAATACTGTTACTTACCGAGAGTCCGTGAGTCACTTGGTTTATTTTCATTCATTTTACTAGGAAAAATAAGAACATATAATACAGCCAGCTTAATTTTAAAAGTTTCAAATTATCCATTTTAAATTTAGTCAATGCATAATTACAAATAAGTTGCATATTATTTCATACTCTAATACATGACTTCCTCACCTTTTATATAACTAAGACTGATAGTTCTGGACAAAAGGTGGTGGACATTGTTAAAATTGGAGGGAATGTTTTGTTGTTATCAAAAGATTAAGATAACTACTTGTATTTAGAGGATAGGGGCCAGGATTTCAAGACATCCTGCAATGCACCCAACAGTCCTACACAACAAAGAACATTCTAGACCAGCGATTTTCAAGGATTTTTTACTAAATTCTTCAGCACACAAAAAAACATTATATTTTTTGCCAATATGACAAAACAGATATAATTTTGATTCATTCACACCAACAGCTATTATTGTCTTGGTCCTTGTCATTTTTTTATTTGACAATCTAAGGAAGAAGAGGTCAGTGACCCTGACTAAATAGTCAGGTATTGCACGTTTTAAAAATTCTTCGGCATACCAGTGTGCCACGGCATAATGACTGAAAAAATCCTGGTCTAACCTTTTGAATTTCGAGATGGATATTCAGGATTCAGGTAGGTTAAAACAAAACAAAGAAACAAACCAAAAAACCCTCAAACCTATCTATAATTACATTAACCCAGAACCTGAGCCATTTTACATATAGACTTTTTTCCCCCTGCTGCTTTAGGACAAAATGAGTCTTTCCATTATTTATAAGTATCATCTTTTTTTTTCTTGCTATTTTAGGAGAAAATGAATATTTCCAAATTACTACTCCTATGTAGAGTCAAGGAAACTTGTATGTTATTTTTGTTCATAACTTTACCAAGATTTGTTTATTGTTTAGGAAAAAAAAATCACATCATCAATAGCAATGCTATTCATATTTTAGTAACCTGAAAAACAATTCTTCATCCGACTATATTTGTGGCTGTTATATTTGTAGGCATTCTATATAGAACTGCAAGCATATGACTGCTGTAGTCACATTCTAATTCCAGTACAGTGCTCAACCATTTACATACCCTTTGGTTAGAAGCCCTGTGGTTCTTCTGGTCTGCAATCTCTTTCATTGCAATGAGAGAAAAACAAAACAAACAAACAAAAAAAACCTATCACACATCACTGGTGGTTTTATTTAGAACAGAAGGATGATAAGGCAAATGTCATAAAAAAAACTCTAGTGAATCTGGATAAAATATATATAAAAGTACCTTATACTATTATTTTAACTTTTCTCTGTTTAAAATTATATCAAAAATAAAAATTAACCCCAAATCGGATGTTCTAAAGACATTATATAACTCATACTTTGACTAAATTCACTTAGCCTTCTTTCTATTCCCCAGCATCTGATTAATGACTGCTTTATTTCAAACAACCATCTCCAAAACAAAGCTTCAGCAAAAAGTTAAGGATTATTCACACAGTTTAGTTGGATTTTTATCATTTGTTTTCCTTCCAGTACAGGAATTTTAAGATGCCCTAAGTAGTAGCGGGGGGAGAACAATGTTATGTAAGTATATCCTATATAATAAAGAACTAATATGCTAATTAGACCAAACAGCAGAACGACCTTCTGGAGGACTGTCTGGATGGCCTTCCAGACGAAGCAGGGGCTGCGAGGGCCAGCCCAGGCTGTGAGGGGCTACGAGGACCTGCCGAGGCTCCGAGGGGATGTGAGGGCTGGCCAAGGCTCTCAATAACAGCTCAAGTCTTAACAATAACTTAACATCATTAACAATTTAGCGAAGCAATCTAGAAAGCCACTGTCTAGAGGTATTCTTGAGTCTCTTCCACTGCTTACCCCAACTTGGTCTGTTAGTGATATTCACAGCTTGATTCTCCTCCCTTCAACAGGTGGAGTCTGATTTCCCTTTCCTTGCGCTTAGCAACTTCCACCACAAAGCCTGGCAGAAATGACAATGTGTGACTATGTCATAAAAGGCATTGTGACTTTCCTATCATGGGTCATCAGCATTGGAGGAAGCTACAGTAGTTAACATGTCATAAAGGGCTCTCAAGATGCTCTTTAAAGAGGTCCACTTGGCAAAGAAGTGAGGCATTTACTCAAAGCCTTATAAGGGAGTCATTTTAAAAGTGAATCCTTCAGCCCCAATCAAGCCTTCATAGGACTGACTGCACCCTGGCTGACAGTCTGGGAGCAACTTCCTAGGAGATGCTAAGCCAGAATCACACTGCTAAGCTGCTTTCAAATTTTGACCCAAAGAAATGGTAAAAATAATAAATGTTTATTGTTTCAAGTCACAAAGTTTTGGGGTTATTTGCTACACAGCAATAACTAACTAATGCAATAAAGTAAGCCAAATTCCCTTTCATGGCAGCTGGGTAGCTATTCTAACAGTTTTTTTTTGTGGGATCTTTAGGGCTTTCAATATATAAGACTAGAGGCCTGGGGGGGGGGGTGTCCCCCAGCCCAGCCTGTGCCCTCTTGCAGTCTGGGAGCCCTTGGGGGGGATGTCTAACTAATGGCTTAGGCCCACTCCCTGGGAACTGGCAGTCAGACATCCTTAGTGCTGCACCAGCGAGCCCAGCTTTTGGCTGAGCGGCACTCCCTCTGTGAGAGTGCACTGACCACCAGGGGGCAGCTCCTGTATTGAGTGTCTGCCACCTGGTGGTCAGTGTGTATCATAGCAACTGGTCATTCCGCTGTTCAGTCGATTTGCATATTAGCCTTTTATTATATAGGATTATGCCACCTGCAAACAGGCAATTTTGCTTATTTCTTTTGGATTTGGATATGTTTTATGTTTTTCTTGCCTGACTCCTCTGCTAGGATTTCTAGTACTATGTTGAATAGGAATGGTGAGAGTGCACATCCGTCTTCTTCCTAATTTTACTGGAAAAGCTTTCAACCTTTCACCATTGAGTATGATGCTAGCTTGCATATATAGATGGCCTTTATTACATTGAAGCATATTCCTTCTATACCTAATTTGTTGAGAATGTTTATCATGAAAGAATGTTTTTTGTTAAATGCTTTTTCTATTGAGATGACTTTAATTTTTATTTCACATTCTATTAATGTGATGTATCACATTTACTGATTTGCATATGTTGAACCATCTTTGCATCCAGGGATGAATCCTACTTGATCATAATGTATGATCCTTTTAATATGCTGTTGAATTTGGTTTGTTAGTATTTTATTGAGAAATTTTATACCCATACTCATCAGGAATATTGGCCTGTAGCTTTACTGTAGTGTCCTTATCTGGTTTTGATATCCAGGAGTTGAACGCACACTTTAGAAAAGAAATTCAACATGGCCAACAAGAAAATGAAAGAAGGAATGCTGAAAAATTCACAAATTGAGAATCTCCAAACTAAAGGGAGTCCATGCCTAGAATACTTCACTGATGAATTCTATCAAGTATTTAAGAACTGGCACCAATGTTTTCCAAACCAATCCAAAATATAGAAGAGTAGGAAACACTTAATTCAATCTATAAAAAAGCCAGCATTTATCTTCATACCAAAGCTAAAGGCATCACAGAAAAGCTACAGACCAGTACCCCTTATGAATATAAATTTATGAATATAAATGCAAAAACCATCAACAAAATACCTGCAAACTGAATCTTTGTTAAGAGAACTACACACCAGGACAAAGTGGGGCTTATCACAGGAATATTTGGGTGGTTCAACGTATGAAGAAAAGTCAAATAATGTAATACATCACATTAACAATAAAAGCAAAATGTGACATGTTCATCTTGATTGATGCAGAAAAAAAAAAGTGACAAAATCCAACGCTCTTTCGTGATAAAAAAACAACAACCAACAATCGAGGAATAGAAGGGATCTTCCTTGGCATGATAAAAGGGCACCACAGCTAATACACTTCAGTGGTGAAAGACTGAAAGCTTTCCACATAAAATCTGGAGAAAAACAACCAGGTCTACTCTCACCATTTCTATTCAACACTGTACTAGAAGTTCTAGCTAGAACAATTAGGCAAGCAGGAAATTAAAGGCATCCAAATTGAAAGCAAAATAGCTCTATTTACAAAACACATAATAATACGTGGACAATATCCCAGTGAATTAGCAAAAACACAAAAACAGAGATTCTGAGATGTCAGCAGCATGGCAGCACGAGAAGACCTTCAGGTCTTTACCCTTGAAGTTGGATGGCTATAATTCAATAAAAGATTTTCTGCTCAACACACAAACACGTTTGAGAGATATGTGCATTAAGACATCTGAAGGTGGGAATGAACAGGGCAACAGGATGGGGAAAGGACAGAGACAAGAGCCATAGATGCATTCCAGAGTTCTCTGCTGCCCCAGAAGATGCAATAGCAGTGAACACTAGAGGTGCAACCCCCACTGGGTAAACCAGAGGGGCAGAGGCTGCAATCAGGCCTGGGCAGTTGGCACACATTGAGGCTGAGCCAGGGTCAGGGGCAGAGAAGTACTGCAAAGGGTGGCAGCATTCTACCACCTATCATTACTGGTCAAAAAAATCTGCAGTCCTGGGAATTATCTACACTAACAAAACAGAAACATGGTAATTGGCATACGACCACTACCCTTCCCAATGGCTAATCAGCGAGATATGCAAATTAACTGACAGCCAAGATGGCGGCCAGCAGCCAGGCAGCTTGAAACTAACATGAGGCTTCCTTGCTTCAGTGACAGAGGAAATCAACGTTCCCCGCCTGCGGCTGCAGGCCTCTGAGCCTGCAGTTTAAGAAACTATGTAACAAATACCG